GCTGGGCACGCTGCGGACCGCGGCTATTAACTTTTTTTTTTGTTTGTTTTAGCTGCTTCTGTGTTTCTTGTATTAATGACAGATTGACAGAGTTAGACGATCGGGAGATTGATTTTTCAGTGCATGTTTTATGATTTGATTTTCCCCTTGGTGCCTCTCCCTGGCGGTTCTGCCCTTTCCTTTCACGCTGCTGGCGTCATTTTCCTGCGCAACCTCATTTGGCTTCCCTGGGCCCCTTTTTCTGCAGACTTAAGACCATGTCATTATCTGCTGATCAAGTAGCTTGGGCAGCCTGCTGAATGGGCCTTTGGTCCGCCTGTGGTGAGGGCCACGCTCACTGGTGCTCGTCAGCCTTGCTGATGTGTGCGTGTGTCTGGGAACCCCTCATGGGACTGATGCCGCCGGGCCAGCAGAGGCCCCTCGCGAGCCTGGCCCACAGCCAGATGGCGCCCAAGTCAGCACGGTCTGGATGGTTTCCGGGCTAGCCTGGACCTCACCCCCTTGGCTGTCTAAGATCAGTTATTGACCCTTTGGCCCGTCTTGGGTGACCCACACTTTGGAGTGTCTGATAAAGCGCAGAACCTCTCCTTAGAACACACGTCTGTTCAAACACACAGGTGTGCACAGAAACCCGGGGGGGGGGGTGTGAACAGCCCCTAAACCTGTGCTTGGCTCTTGTCTGGGACCCAGATTAAGAACCACCAGCCCTAGGCACTTTCAAGCCCTCTCTCCCTTCCCCATCCCTGAAGGACGGAAAAGGAAAACAACTGAGGTGTATATGTGTGTGGGGGGCAGGGGGGAGCACCTGTCCGAATGCTCTCCAAACTTCCAAACTGCAACTTTGCTTTCACAGAAGTCAGCTCTTCCGTGTAGCTGTTGGGTGGAGAGAGCAGCCTGTGTCTAAACATTTATATATCAGAGTCAGTGAGATTCTGTAAAACATAGATACACTCTGGAAACAGATACATTTCACTACCAAAAAGAAAAACAACCCGCTGTTATGATACAGGCTTAACAGGAAAACTCTTTGTGACGCTCGCCTTCACGTCCGCCTTCACTGCTGACCCAGCAGGCTGTGGGCCTGTGCTTGACCTTTGCTTGACCTTTACTTGACCCAGTGCCATGATCCAGACAAACCTTGGGATTTGCCATTTGTCTTAGAAGAGTAGCACACCCCAGGAGACTGGTTTTAAACCCGAGGGTCTTGAACTCGTGGCTGGTGCCCCGGGCTGTGGCACTGCTTCCTGAAAGTTCCTATCGCCCTTGCTTTTCTCTTCCAGCTGCAGCACCGTGGCCCCGTGAACAAAGCTGGCGCACCCGAGCAACAGCCACGCTGCAGCGCACCTGCAGAAAAGCTGGTCACTGACGGAGCGAGCAGGCCTGTGCGCGTGCGCGTGGGGGGAGCGCTGTGCCTGGGCGCCTGCGCGCGCTTCTGCTCACACGCTGACCTGCACGCCGCCAGGGCTGGAGGGGCCCCTGCAGCACCTCGCCTCCACCCCGACCCCAGAGTGGAGGTTATGGGGTGGAGACCTGTCCCGGCAAGCCAGCTGCCTGTCTGCCTAGAGGAGGGTGGGACCCTCGCTGGATCCTGGCATCTCCCCGCCCTCCCAAAGTCTCCTCCTTCCCTCCTTCCATCAGTCTGAGGAGCAGGGAGGCACCATTTTGGACTCTCGTCCAGAACGTGAGATTGTAGAGACAGCCAGAGCCCTGCTGAGTTCCCCCTATGACCCTGAGACTGGGCAGGCTGGAGTGGACGGGTACTGTCCAGTCATCTGGCCTGGCTTCTCTCTTTGAAATTTCCTGCCACCTGGCCTTCCAGCCCCTTCCTCAGGCATCTAGACTGAGCACAGTGTTTCTGGCATCAAATGGAAACGTCCAGGCACCCACCGGCATGCTGTGTGCATGGTGCTAAGCTGACAGCCAAGGCAGCGCGTTCACCTTTGGGGACTGAACCCTAAGGTCAGGAACAGAACCCCAGCCCTCTCTCTTCCTTCCCTCAACACTGTGCTCCAGGTTCTTGGTGGTTTAACCCCTGGCCCTCTTGCCACTCTAGGGCAGCTGACATCCAAACATGGGGGCCATTCTAGTCCATGTTCTGGAGGCTTCCAGGACCAGCCCTGGACTGTTCAGTGCAAGCCATGTCACTCTCCCAAGGGCTGGACACTCGAGGACCCAGGCAGGTCTCAGGCGGCACTGCCAGGGGTACTTGGGGAAGGTCCCAGCACGCCAACATTTCCAGAAGCAGCAGGTGGGAGGTTTGCCCCAGAGAAGCCAAGGAATGCAAGTGCAGGAGGCCTTGCGTTCCAGGCGTGACCTGTGCCTCCCACTCCCACCCACTGCCGATGGCCTGCGTTGGGAAAGACATAATGAGAAGAAGGACTGTGCGGTCAGCAGCAAGTCTTCCTTCCACCTGCGGCCTGCACTCGAGCCACAGAGTGTGTGTGTGCTGTGGGGTTGTGCAGGTGCACGGGTGGCTGAGAGCTGATTCCCCTTAGAACTTCACGCTCACATGTAAATTGAGCTGGCCTCCGGGCGCCTCCTCTCTACCTCCCCTGTGATCGCTCCTAGCCCCATAGCTGTTGACTCCCTTGGCCGCAGCCCTGCCCCTTCTCACCTTTGGTCCTGGCACTAAGACCCAGGGACAGGCCCCGTCTCCTGGGCTGCCCAGCACATTGCCGGCTTCCCGAGATGCCTTTGGGTTCCCACAGCCTGTCATCACAGGCCAGCTGTGGGCCCTCGCTGGAGATGCCCCTGATTTCAGGTGGTGGGCAGGGCACAGGTGACGGCGTGTGTTTGCAGCATTGCGCCAGGGCCTCCGACCCCAGTCAGGAGGAAAGTGAGCTGGGGCTGTAGACACCGGGGGCCAGGCTGGAAGAGCCGCTCCGAGAAACTGCGCAGTCTGGAGCGCACAGGCGGGTGCGTGTGCCCGGCGGCATCCGGTTCCCTTTCCCTGCCCACCGAATGCTGTTGCTCTCACCTAAGGTGCACCATGGGGGGCACCTGCCCTGTCTCTCCACCACCCGTGACTTACCAGCCCACTCCCTACTGAAGGGAGTGCGGGGGTGGGGTGACGAGAGGGCACAGCCATGGCCTGTGTCCGCAGCGGCTTTGTGCGCTGCCCCTTGGCCCAGGTGTGCCTGGGGGCTGCTGCAGAGCTTTGCCCAAATTGACTCAGGTCTCAGCATGGGGAAGAGATGGTCACAGGCAAAATGCACTTTATAGAGCGATTTTCTGTTACGGGGAAGGTGTGTTTCTTCCACAGTGTTTGTACTCACTTGTCTCATAAATGTCTGATCCTGTCTGAGCAAAGCCGTGTTGGCTTCATTTTGTGGGCGATCTGGGGCCCAGGCGTCAACACAGCTGAGCCTGAGATGAAATCTTAGGCCTGACTATCTTGCGTCTGCTAGACCAAAAGCCTCTCACTCCTCTGTGGAGGTGGTGGGGAAGGGCAGGTGGCGGGAGGTGGAGGAAGGGGGAGGCTCCCAGGTGAGTGACTGGAGCAGAGCTGGGTAGCTGGGCTTATTCAGAATAATACAGAGCGCTCTAGGCCCGGGATAAGGCACCAAGCACCTCTGCCCACTCCAACACCCCCGA